ACAGAATGGAACTTTTTATAAAGACACAACAATGAAACAATGTAGCAATTGGATTCCAGCCTCTCTACCTTGACACTTTGTAGCCATTAAGCTTCTTTGGACTCAAACACCATCCAATATTTTTATTAAGATATTTTGGCTGGGATTTGCAAAGGTGCCTAAGGGGCTTATTTGTCCAATGAATTTCAATGGGAACTGGGTGCCTAACTCTCTTGGGCAAATTTGGAACTCCCATTCGTTCTCTTTCTAGGATACAGTTCATCAATAAAGACAACTTACTCGTACATGAATCTCTTCGTTGATGCACTCTTTCTTGTTAGTCTTTTTAACATCTAGATACTTGACCAGTGGACCAATTGTGATTCCCTGTATTTAGAAAAATGAGTGAGAAAGTTAATTATTGTTTGAAACAAGCAGATAAAAGGCAAAAGATGAAGTGACTATTTTTTATTTGATCACTGTGTCTAGAATATAGGGCTTATTTGTTATTAGTCGGGCTGGTTGGAAAATGGAGTGGGAGATGGGGGGGAGGTTCTGAAAAAAATGTTTCCATTTTTTTAAAATCAAAATTAGATTTTCATCAGCATTTTCTAATCAATAGTAAGAATTAGTTTCTGTAAACTACCTGGCCTGCTAACCACTCATACCAAGCTAATATTTCATTCCAGAGGGAAAAAATAGTTTCAACAATATCAAAGCATCCTGTTTGACATTTTTTGAAAGAAATGATTTGATTTTTAAAACTTTTGATTTCATTTTAAAAACTGTATAATATAATGTAATATAATAGTTTAAAAGACTATATAAAAATAAAATGATTCACCCCAAACACATTTTTTTCAGGATTTTCATTTGCAGGGAATTTCTAAATTGTGGGGTTTCATTCCTAATCAGAACAAAGACAAATGTTGAAATCACAAAATCCTTCACAAAATGGAATTTCCATCCTGCGTAGCCCTGGTTATAACACAAAAGGGGAACAACTACTCTTGTATATCAGAGTACAAGGTGAAGTAAAAAACTGGAACATAATTTTCAGAGGAATTTTAAGGACATCTGTTTTTAAATACTTCCCGTGGTGAAGTTACTAAATATTTAACTGAAACGATAAGACAAAATTAATTATCCAGCAAAGGGTTATTGTGTTACATCTGGAGACACTATCCAGCAACTAAAGTATAAAATAGAAGGATTTAATCCTGATTTAAGTGCAAATCTCAGTGCAAGCTTAACTATGAAGCCTCTAGGCATCGCTGTTGTATGAAATGAACCCATTATGAAACCTACTTACCTGAATGAACACGGTGAAATATATAACTACAAGAGTAGCCGTAATGAACATGTTCTTTCTAGGGAAGAGATACATCGGAAGCAAAAATGCAAGAGAGAAACTACTGGCTCCTCGAAGGCCACTGTAGGCAATAATGAGCTGGTCTTTAATGGTGAAGGGATAAGTCCGAAACTTGTTGCTGATATAAAAGAGAGCAAACACACCTAGGAGGGAGGGAAAACTATTGTTAACCAAGTAACAAAGAGAAATACTTTAAGTGCAACAGCATCTTTAGCCTTTAAGCCATGAACACGGTTTTCTTTGCAATTGTGGGTGCTTGTAACTTCTTTTCTGGTCATTTGTTGAGGCTATTTTTTAAATATACTATAAATGTGATGCCTATGAGAAATTTTAACACGATATTCTAATGTAGGTTTCTAAATGTTTTGTGTTTTAACTTTGCTGAGTAGGATCAGAAGATGAGATGAGTGATATTATCCACCACCATTTGTATTTTAGACAGGCCTTCCCCTGAGGCGATCTGAAGATATCCTAGATAAGAGTTCTTCCTGCTTTTCCCCCTATAATATTCTTTCAAGCATTTCTTCTTCCCTTTCACTCCAATGCATTTTGGTCCCCTTCTAAGTTACTCAAGACATTTTCCCACACAGTAGAAGACCAGTGTGTTTGAACAGTGCTTGAACAGTTTTGACAGTTGCATATAATAAAATAATAATAATAATAATACCTATGTCTTTAGTGCTTTTTTTTTTACAGAAGGGGAAACTGAGTAACAGAGGGGTGGAAAGACATACCGAAGATCACCCAGCAAACCAAGGGCAGAGCTAGGGATAGAGTCCAGGACTCCTGAGTCGCAGTCCAGGGCTCTTCACTGACTCCCTTTAAAGGCATTCGGTAACAAAACAGCTATAGTGGAAGCTGCTTAATTCTCCTGATTTGTTTTGCTTTTAATTAAAAGTAAAACTAATGTTGACAGCCTATATGACAGATGACCCTTGCGGTCCCTTCTAACCCTATGGTTCTATGATTCTATGTGGCTGGGTGTGGACTGCATCTTCTGCCTACAGTATATTTAGTGGCTTGCTTGTTTTTTTCCATTACCCTCTTGGGCCCTTTTCCAACAGCTTTATTTTCTTAATGAAATGCCCTTGTATCTACATTTCATATGAGCACCATGACTGATGTAAATAATGAACCGTTATAATTAGAAAAAAATCCATTTTATACATCAACCCTATAACAAGCTTATTGGATTATTATTGGTGGGCCTTGTAACACTACAAAGGTTGCGTGGCACTTCCCATTATGAGATCCTGTTTTCAGTTGCTTATAGCTTTGTCAAACTGAAGTTTTCCATGCTGGGCATCTGACTCAGGCTGACAGGTGACCTTTATTTGAAAAGCTCTAAAACCCCCATGCTTTGGAACAGGGACTTGAAATTTAGTAGGGAGGTGGCCTTTGTATCAGGGATGTGCCTTTTGCTGTACCCATTAAAAATTGCTCACATGTGGCCAAGTTATAAGACTGTAAAATCTCAGTTTGCACATGCTCGGTATAGACTTCTTCATCTTCCCCCTTAAACTTTCCTAGGATTCCATCCTCACAGAGCATGCTCCAGCCTCTCACAGCTCCTAGCACTGAGCACACTGCATGGACCATCACAGAGTAATTGAACCTAGTCCATCCTCTCACTATTCCAATGTGTGACCAGGCTGTGCCTGCACCATCCCCACAGAGATAATAAGCATGCTGCAGGACCAGGGCTACAGGAGCAAAGCTGGAATTTCCCTATAGTGGCTAATCCCAGCTGCTCCCAGGGTGAGGCCAGGCAGTGTAACTGAGAGCACAGAGCCTGTCTCTCTTGTGGTCTCTGCGACCCCCCCACCCCGCCGCTGGCACCCACGCAGTGCAGAGAAGAAAGCCACCTGATTTGAATGCAGAAGGGACAAAAGCTGAATCAAGGAGGAGGGAGAGGAGCAGATGGAGACAAGGAGACTAAAGAGGGGGAGAAAAACTGGGAATATCTGGGCAAGGAGACTATGACTGGGAGCCAGGAAAGAGACGGAGAAAGTCTTCTTGCCCAACCAATCCCAGCCTATGACTAGGAGCCTGGGACAGGGATTCGATGAAGGCAGCTGGGGCAAAGAGGCTGGGGCTCAGTTGGCTGCGAGGGAGGAACACTGAGACTGCATGAGGAGCTGCAGACAGGGGAGGAGACTGGCATCAGATGTAGGGAAAGAGAGAAACTGGGAGTGGACGGGGAGCTTTGGGCTTAGTCAGCAAGTTGAGAGGTGGAGACTAGAACTCAATGGGAAACATGGCATACGATGAGAAGCCTGAGGAGAGGAGAATGGAGTGGGAGAAGGAGGAGCCGGGGGTGGCAAAGAGACAAAATTGGGATGGGGACAGGCTAGTGGGGATGGAGCAGAAGGGGTCACACTTAAGAGCAGAGGCCAGAAGAGTCTTTACCCACTAGAGCACACACCCCTCCAGAGTCTGGAAGATCCCCAAGATTCACCATTTCTCTACTGTCAGCAAGTATCTGTGAAACCCATTGGCAAAATCTTATACCCCTCTACTTCTGGGACACATAGAGGACGTCAACCTACTATTGCTATCAGTTATTCCATTAGCTCAAGTGCCAGAGGTCTGTGAGGTGGATCAAAAGGTTCCAACCTGGCTGATTACCACGTGGGTGCCAATATGATGGAATTTGTGTTTTTTCAGTTTGCTTTATTTAAAAAACATAGATAACTGCGCACTAAAATCATGCATTAAGGTTGCAAAGTCAAGTACTCAGAAATTAAGAAATGCCAGAATTAAGGTTGCCTCTGCAACCTTAATTTGCCCCCTTGTGCATATGCATTATGGTACAATCTTTAATTACATGACACATACTATGTTTTCCATAGGAGCCCTGTTTCATTCAGAAATATAAATAAATTCAAATAAGGAATAATCGTGTCTGAATGTAATGTACTTACTGCCTAGTTGTTTTGGGAATTGTATACAGTTAGTAGTAACACTTAAAATTACTTGATAAAAACACTGTGCCCAATCCTAGGATCTGGCTGGTTCAGGACCAGAGGGCATGGGGCAAAGTTAGCTGCACACTACCTCTCCACTTCCCCAATCCTGGGGTACCAGGAGCCAATTCAATTACCATAGTATGTCAGAGCAGCCTCAGGGATGGGTTAGTAGCCAGGCATCATGAATGTTCTGCCACACCTTTTCCATTTTACCATGTGACCAGCTCACCCTAACCCCTGGAGAGCTTGGGAAGGGCTGGGGTAAAGCTGGTTATGCCAGTTTTACCTCACCTGGAGATTTCCTTCACCCATGCCATCCAAGCCAAGGGAAAGGCTTTACAGGAGTGGTGCCAAAGGGCCGGGATCTGGATTCACAGTGTATAGAACTTTATCTACTTTAAGAATAAATTTAAATAGCTAATATTCTCTCTCTGATTAAAATTGCAGAGAAATGTTCAAATTGCCAAAAATAGATAAGGAACCATCTTAAATTAACCACATTCTAAAATGTAACCATTATGAAGCCCACTTACCTGAATAAACACAGTAATAACATATGGCCAGCCTAAATATCAACATAATGATGGAAATGGTTTAATTTTACTTAAAAGTTTCCTTCGCACTGAATCACAAAATCCAGCTTCAAGTATTGACCTTTGGGTTGTTGTTCCTCCCCCCCCTCCCCCCAGCCCACCAGTTCAGTACTAATATTTGTGAAATTACCTGGTCAGTAAGACACACCTATTAAACTCATTATTAAACAGGTTATACAAGTCAGCACTACATTTCCTAGCCTACTTTTGCACTGATTACTTTCAAAGACGCAAAGCACCACATCTACCCAGGCTGGCTATGTTAAAATGCAGTATTTGCCTCTTACTTAGCACACGCCAAATCAAGCAGAAGAGCAGAGTGAAGGAAACAAAGGCCCAGTTCCACTCGTGGTTCCTTCCAACTGTGGACACTCCCATGAACACGAAAATCAGGGTCTCGCTGACACTGCTCAGCATCTTCATGAAGTACTTTATGGTTGTGTAGGAATTCTGGGAAACATTCTCCTCCACATATTTTTTCATAGTCACTGCACATGCTGTCATCCTGTTCATTCAGAAACACCGTGCAAACCATTAGGTATTGGCAATGGTCATCTGTTTATTATCTTAAAAGAGAAAGGCTCCTCTAATCACTCCTGCTTGAAGACTAGTTGAATCCAGACTGTTTGCTCATCTCCTTATTTGAGCCCACATATGGGCCAGATTCTGAGACCTTTCCTCATGCAATACCTTCCTCCTTAAATTGAGCCATTGATTTCAATGGGACTACTTGAGGAGTAAGGGGCTGTGTAATGGTATGGATATTGCATCTGGCCCTATGTGTGTATCCCATATAGAGGAGAAGAAAAGGAGCCAGAGTTTGCCAACCTTACTCAAAGTGAGTCTGGTTCAAAGTCATTTTTGTTTTGAATGCACAACAAATATGAATAAAGGGGCAAACTCGTGGCTTTGCCACGAGCACCAAGCAAGGAACAATGCATTGTCGTGCTGCCCTGGGAGCAGACGAATCAGTGCCACACTCTGCCTCCCAGTAACCCCTCACTCTGGTGTGGCAAAGGAGGAACCCTGCATCAGCCCTACACCTGGCACAGAGTGTCCCCCACACACACCAGCTAGCCAGCATATTAGGGGGTGGAGACCTAGCTCCAATGATTCTCCACCCCTCCGTGCCCACTGCTGTCCATAAGCATCGCAGGAGGAAATGCAGCAACAGCCCTGCAGAGGCTGCTCTTTCCCTTCATAGCGATCCAGCTTGCACGGGGCAGTGAAGGGACACCTTACAGCTCCTTACTTCTCCGCTTGGCTGCATGAACCAGGCCACCATCTGGCCCAAACATATCCGTAAACAATGTGGGCCAGGCGCTGATACTATTACTCATATTAAATAGCACCTTACTCTCAGACTGAAAATAATGAGACTTCTTATGGAGTAAGGTACAATAGAACCTCAGAGTTACGAACACCAGAGTTATGAACTGACCAGTCAACCACACATGTCACTTGGAACTGGAAGTACATAATCACGCAGAAACAGAGACAAAAAAAAGAACACCCTCTTCCCCCCAAAAAAGCAAATACTGTACAGTACGGTGTTAGAGGAAAACTACTAAAAAAATTAAGGGAAAGCAGCATTTTTCTTCTGCATCATAAAGTTTCAAAGCTGTATTAAGTCAATGTTCAGTTGTAAACTTTTGAAAGAACAACCATAATGTTTTGTTCAGAGTTACAAACATTTCAGTTACGAACAACCTCCATTCCCGAGGTGTTCATAACTCTGAGGTTCTCCTGTACTTCCTAGCATGAGTAGGAATATGGCAGATTTTGTGTTCTCTGTTAAATCAGCAGACAGACATTCTCCCAAGGCTTCCTCATTTCTGTCGTGTTCCCAAAGCTTAAAGGAAACTGTACGTAAATAGGCAGGTTGAATGCTAAACTGATAGATAGCCCAGTATGTCACCTAGCTGGTTTCCATCTATAACATTTTAGTCCTATCAGCCTTCTACATGGCAAAAGTTTTCTAATCTTGTGTGCTCAGAATATTCTGAGTGCTCCTCAAGTCTCCCATTCATTCCACCTAGACAAAGCTACAGGATGCTCTGGAGGAACAGAAACATTCAGCAGGTCCAAGGACATTCTAAGACAAAATCAATAGACATTAATGTTTAATACTGTTGACTTTTCAAGATATATGCATAATAAATTTTCATAACCCAAGTGGAAAATGAATGAATTCATCAATAATTCAATGGTGCAACAGTAAGTTCCCATCACTAAAATAAGCAATAATATATTTAATAGGCTAGTAAGAAGAGTAAACCCTGATTATATTAATATTATTTTATTACTAATAATTTCAATAAACTAATGACAATAAGAAGCATGTGAAATAAAGTTCTATATATTTTAAAATAATGAATATTCACAGGGATAGTTTGTAAGGTACAGGAAGACTGATCAAATCTATAACTGATTAATAAATTAGTATTCAGCTCTGATAGGACCTGATCTTGAAGTCAATGAGAGCTTTGCCAATTACCTATATACCATATATTAGTGGGCAAAACATGGACCAGGATCTGGGTCACTTTGCAATGGGTGTAAATAGCTACACAAGGTATAAAACAGTGGAGAACAGGATTAGAATCATATATACTCTAATAATTAGATTGGATTAAGAAGCATCTAAATATTACATTATAAATGCACTTAGAGTATGAGGATAGGTGCTTTATATATGTATCTAATTAAACAATTGGGTTAAATTTTCAAACACAGGTACCTCAGATGATCCTGCAAGGTATGTGTGCATACAACCGCATCTTTGCACAGAGACTGTAAACTGGGGTTTGTGAACAAATCAGGGTCTGAGACGTGCAGTGAGAGCTAGTGTAAAATTTTTGCACTCATAATGACAGTACACTATTTTATGCATGTGCAATGTATTGTAGGTGCCCACGTTCAAACATTTGTCCCCATTAAGTGAGAATCCCCCCTGGAGGTAGCCTTCACTCATTCTGGGGCACCAGGCTCAGTGAAGTCCCATCCCCAGCTCATTCATGTGAGCTCAGGGCAGGAAAAAAAAAAAACCCGGTGTTGCCAGCCCAGGAGTCAGAGATTGGACTCAGCACCAGCCAGCAGAATTATCTATAGAACTGAGGATGTCACCAGACTTCCACTTCTTCAGTTTTTACTTTGGTATTCTTTCCTCTCCATTGTTTGGCTGTTTTCTCCAACTCCCTCCCACATCCTCGCCTCACATTCCCTTTGCTGCCCCTCACTGTCTCTGCCCTCCATGTGCCTCTCCATTCCTCCCTCCATCCTTTCACTCTTCTTTCCTATCCCTGTCCCCCTTGTCATCCTCCCATCAATGTCCTCGCTCTCTCTCTTCATGTTTACTGTAAATTATAGTCCTTTCTGACCTTCCCTCTTCATCTCACACCTGTACATTCATAACACATTTGGGACCAGCCATCGAACTATTTCAAGGTTACTGTAGTGAAGTGTCTGGCCTTTAATCAATGGCACCGTTGCTCTTTACAGAGCATGGTGTATGCACCGATGAGTTCTCTGGGGGCTGCTGAGTCCAGTGAGCAAGTCACAGTCTCATCCACAGGTAAGGCACACCCACATATTAGCAATGCTCTGAATCCGAGCAGCAGATTCCTTCCTCCTCTGACGCCAGTCATCACAAAGATTGATCCAGTTCTCCTTGCAATGCCTTGCTCCATCAACAAGCCGACTCTGTCAACCAGAGCGGCATTCTGCACTCCTTTCCCAGTCATTCAAAGAGATTCCAAGGATACTAAGTCATCTTTGCAAACATCCCAAAATCTGCATAGTGGTCTACTTCTCTTTCTAGACCTTTTGTGACCCTTCGCTCTTCGGGATCCTGTAATCTGGCATTCACTTGACATGTCCAAATCTTTTCTACTGATCAACATTCCCATGAATGACATACCAGCACGATTTAACACTTCCACATTTATCAGCCTGTCTTGGTTTTTTAATGTGCATGTGTTTGTTTAATGCTTCTGAATTTTATATTTGGGCCAGATTTAGTTCCAAGTTACACAAAATTAATTTAGGTGTAATTCCACTTAAATCAATGGAGTTCAATTGATATACATTGCTGTAACTGAGAGTAAGATCTGGTCTATTATTCTTTGTTCTTTTGATATTAACAATGTTGTATATAACTACATCCCTCTCATAACATTATTGGGATGCCACATAGAAATAAATATTAGAGCATAAGTTGGTCTGGTATCAGATCATGCTGTGTTTAAACAGATATATCAGCAGACCAGGTTGCACATTTAGGCCCATAAAGAATCACAACTGAAAAAAATGGGACAGGGGCAGCAGAAATCATTATACTAATCCCAAGCAAAACACCTTGTCAAGAATGGAATTCCACCCTGGGAGGCATTTGAAAATTCTTATTTGATACTCACGCCAGAATGCCTGAGATGTAGAGGGTTTCAGCAGACAAATATGACAAATAGCTGAACATGAAGACAAGCAGTGGTTCGATGGCAGAAATGTTCTGTGTAAATCGAGTCATGAATGCCGAAACAAATCCAAACACGATGCCAAACAGCACTCCGCCTAGTCCTACTACAAAGAAACGAGCAAATCCAGCAAGAACATCAACAGGTTCAATCTCTTCATATCGGTGCATCTGGGTGAAGGCGATGAATATGTTATATAACACCTGTATGCAAAAATAATGGACAGCAAATTAGAAATCTTTCAAAACTAGATTTTCTCAATATTTTAGTGGTATGTGCCACACTGTATTATACTCATATTGCTTAGCAAAATTGTAGTTTAAATCTGAACATATCCTTAAGAGGCCCCAGAATTATCTACCTGGCTGGGATCCTAAAACTAGTGAAGAAATGGTACAAAATGCCAGTCAATGTGTCATATTCATCATGCTAAAACAGTAAGACAGGCTGGGACACCCCATGTGTGTGATATATGGAATGTATGATGTTTTCAGAAAGTACATGATGCATCAGACACCATAAAATATGTAGCAAAGAAGGTGCTCAGAAGCACCGTGACGGGTGAAAATGTAAGAACTTAAGAATCAAATAGAATAGAATAGAACAGAAGCTAAGCAACTCCAGCTTCATACTGGTGATAGATAAACACTCAACTCATGGTTCAATATGCAATTGTTGTTATTAAATATACTAGAACTCTTATATAACCAATTTTTATTACCTTACCTTAATAATATAGTAATTACAGTCTGTTGTGTGATGGGTATTGATAAATTTGTACAGTGGATTTGTAAAAATGTCAAAAGGACACTGTCAAGGCACTTTTCAAAAGTTTGAAAATACTTTTTTTTATTCACTTATACTGGCCTCTTGGAGCTCGCTGGAAATTGAAATCTGTTCCACTACTGTTACATCATTTTTATATTACAGATAACTAAAGCAACAGCAGCTGCAGTACAAGCTTCCCAACACTGCTACTGGTGAAAGGGTTATTCAGTCTTCAGGCCCATTCATTCTTCAACCTCTCTTTTGAAATTGTCACAGGGATTCCAGTTGTGTCAAGAACAATCATCCTCTTGGAACTGGATTGAAGCCATCAACTCCCCTGAACCATCCAGTTCCCTATATATTGTACGTTAATGACATAGCAGTCATTCTCAAGGTAGGCATTACAAACCTATTAGTGATTTGACCTTTTTAAGGGTATAAATAGCTAATTAAATTATCTATTTTGGTTAAGGAGCTTGAAATACTGAAAAAAACGTTGTGAGGTTAGGTTGTAGATTATTCTCAGCACATTACACACTGGGTCTGTAGGGTTGATTTTGATTAAATATAGGTCAGATGCTTAATTATCATGCTTTTGTTATGAATAATTTCTATTCTGAAAAATGCATGATAAAATCTCCTTTGGGATTTTCCATTTTCATCCACTAACCAAATGGTGACTGAAGTGTTCAGCAGGGCAGCATGAGGGTATTGATTAAAAATATGTAAGAGTTTTTGACTACTAGCTGACAATAAATCCTATTGTACCTGTTATCAATAAATATCAGTCATACCAGATTCACTTCCAGGTTTTAAAAGTCAGTTTGGAAAAGTCTAAAGTCACAAATTTGCCACAATTTTTGCTACAGATAGCATTAGTCGCTAACACTGTCCTGTTTAAAACAAGCCAAAAAGGCTTCACATATCTGGTGTTCTTTAGTTTTTTTTCTTTGCCTAACTAATTTCAGAAGGCTATTTAATGAGATTAAAGGAGATATTTGCTGGTCAAAGGCTCCAACTCATTAAAGACGATAATTATTCCTCAGATATTATCTAGCTCTAATTGCTTCCTGGGAACATTTAACCTTGCGCTGTCATACAGTAGATTCTCAGGGATACTCATTGTTACTAGGTGACAGGAAACACACAATAAAATGTTCTAGATGGCAGCTTCCTACAAATAAGGGTGATCCACTTTTCCAAACTGCAAAGTGTTTTACTGTATAGTTACTATACAGTACTTGAGTCACCGCAGTTGTTCTCTAACTACTCCCCGTTCCTTGATAATGACACTGTCTCCAGCATAGATTTTGGAAAGTGGGCAGTTGGTACCCAGGTGCTGATTGAGCACTATTGAGTTTAGAGCTGGGCAGACTATTTTCAGGGAATAACTTCTAGCATTTGGCCCTTTTTCCTGTTCCTGAATTGTCCGTTGTCACACAATAGCACAAATTTCCATGAGTGTGTTCATTGTGTGCATTCATTGCTAAATGCTTTATGCCAAAGTAATTCAGCCATGGATTGCTCACTAACTATGCACTATGAGTATTTGCTAGTCACTTAAGTCACATGGCATTGTTTCTGTTCCATAAATGGATTACCATAATTTTTTTAGTGGCAGAAAGGCCTGAATCAGCCTCTGGTGCTTTGATTCGCTCAGAGAGAAGGCAGGGGCATTTTATGGAGAGGTAGCAGGTCTTATTTTAGGAATTTTTAAACCTGGTACTTTGGGCTTTTGCACAAAACCATTATATTCTAGCTAAACACCTGGAGGCTGCATTTTAAAATACCTGGCTTCTTTTTGACTGAGGTCAAAGACATAAACTACTGAAAGCAAGATTAACTGGCACTTTACATAAGATTTTATGAACGATTTCCTTTGTCGTGTTCACAAAACAAAATTGGCTTTGTGTGCTGTCTTATTTGTGAAAAGGCAGAGCAGCATTCTTCCCAGTGTTGAAGAATTGCCACTTTTAGGTCTGTTGTTATACAGAGAGATTGAAGTGTTCTTCTACTGGTTTTTGAATGTTATGATTCCTGATGGAGCTCAGACTACCAAGGCTGCTGCATGTTCCTTCCACTCTGAGGGAAGGGCAAACTAGGTAATGAGCTTACATTGGTCAGGCTTCTGACCAGTACAGGACGGTACAGTTCTGGGGTGCAAAGCTAGAGAGCTGGAGGGAATTGGCTGGAGATTCCCTATTGATGGTTCATGAATGTCTGGGAGATCATTCATGTAACTCAGTTGGGTGTGTCCTTGCCTGTGGATATCTGGGTAAGTGCAGTGTCTGTCAGAGGCTTGTAGCTTGACATCAGCATCACAGCGTGAGAGACAACCCAAGCTGGTGGGTTTGGAGGGCTCAGCAGTCCCACAGTCCAGGTTGCACCCATGGGATCCGGTCACAATGAGTAGAAGATATTTTATATTATATTGCAGTTTTCCTTTAAGACATCAATATTATAATATAATCAATATAATACTACGTTTATATTCTTTGATTAAAAGAAATATCTTAAGGATTTTGTTTGACAGAGGTTTTGAGGAAGGTTGAGAGTATTTGGAGAGTACTATTGGTAAAAAGGGGCTTTTCTACTGTTTTATTAAATGTTTTAATGTATTGGCTGAGTTAATTTATTACCAGAGTATGGCTCTTATGTTGTGGTGTGGTCATCGTTATGTGATTATAAATTTAAGTGTTATGTTAGGCAGCCTACAGCTTTTTGTAAGATGTTCTTGTTGGTGTCTACATTAGGCTTGGCAAGCCAGTCAATTGACTAGACAAGTAATGTGATTGACCTGTCAATTGACGGCCTATTATTTGACCCTGGTCAAATATTGTCAAATATTCCAGCAAGAATTCCCAGGTGCAGGTGGAAGCTTATCTGTTTGGTTGCATCATGTGCCATTTTTTCATTTTCTAGTACATTTTTCATTGTGTTTTGCACTTCTCTGTGTTAAAATAACTCAGGTAAGGAACTTGTTTTTGTGATTAGGCCTAAGTATCTATCTAAGGATAAGCTTCATGGAGCACATGAAGTCTTATTCTTTTTGATTACTGTTCTAATAAATTAGTGGTTTAAAACATTTGACCATTTTTGTATTATTTGATGATATTTGACCAGTTAATTGACCAATAATTTTTGAACCAGTCACAAATGCCCAAACCTACTCTAAGGCTAAATAATTTTGAAAAAATTATTCTCAAACTTTTCAAACTTGTTTTTGGCACAGTGCAACACAGGAGTAACTTGAAAGGGTGATTTTAATATGTTCCAGTGGCTGCATCAGAGTAGACACTTGTATTATTCTGAAATCAAAATATATTATTCATTGAATCTTTACCTAGATGATACATTATGTATATAGCTCATTTATATTCATTGACTTTACCTCCCCACTCTCTGTAGACACAATTATGTTGCTAATACGCAGCTCATAGCAAGCAGTAGAAGAACTGGCTGATGGAAGTCTTGAACTTTCTCATGCAAAGAGTTCTTGTGAAGGTAATGAATGGCACAACTTGAATGGGTAAAGTGACCATGATTTGGCCTCCAGTCACTTAAATAGGAATATTTTCCAAACCATTATTCCAATCCCAGTTTTTTAGGGATTTTTTTCCACTAAAGTAGTACATTTTATATATATTTCTACTTTAAATATCACATATTTACATAAGAAATGGCAATATAGCCATTTCTTGTGTAAAATGCAAACACAGCAGAACTCTTAACAGCTTTTCCTGAATATAGAATTCAAAATTTCATTCAACCTGATAAAAATGTAGTGTCTTTTTTAAAAGCTATTGTTATAACAAAAGTACACCAGTCATTAGTGCGCTACCTCATAAGCAATGTACATACAGATTTAAGTAGCAAGGATTTATCACATGCATCATTAACTTTAAAATCTTTTCATCCTGACTGGGGAATCAGGAGCCTGTGATCATTTCATAACAATTAGGTCTCAAGAGATCAAATTAGTTTCCTTCTCTCCCTTTTTTAAAATCACTCCTAAAATACCATGGGCTATGAAGACTTTCAACAATGAACTCTGCAAGAGTCTTCCAACACATCAAATTTCCAGGAGCACTTGATGTTCAAGCAGTGTCTGAATTGTTTTTGACTGTGTTCTGGACTCCTGTGTTTTAGATTCTAAAAGGACCCAAAGCATTTAATAAGACCATGATTGAATTTTAGCACAATTAGTCCTATTGATTTCAGTGGGACAACTTGCATGCTTAAAGTTAAGCAGGTACAGAAGAGTTTTGCTAGATCAGGGCCTAAGGCCAGAATTTC